AGACTTCCAATGATTTGCCCTAGACTTCTGCTTTCAGACGTAGTTAATTAAGAAGTTATTACCCTATCCGATAATGATCCAATGCAGAGGCAATAATGTCATTTAATACATACGTTTATATTAAATATTTACATATGTATTTTCATATAGTCTTAAAGTTACAACCGGCCCTTTGAGTGCAACCAAAATGCTGATGTGGCCCGTGATGAAATTGAGTAAAGTGTCAGTACTGGGTGTGTTCCTCAGAGAACAAAAATAAATCAATAAAAGAAGAATATGTTTTTGGCTCTCTGGTTCATGGCTTTCTTCATTTTACATTTCAATGAGAATAAAATCATCCAATAAGTCTTATATGAATGAATGTATTTGTTGGATTTTTCCTCACTTGCAGGACCCATCATGTGCTGCGATTCTGCTCCTTCTTATAGAGTAAAACATAAATACATCTGAATGCATTTTGATCAGCTTTAGGTTTAGCTTTCTCACCCTTCTTCTGTTTCACGTTCTGCTGCCAACCCTCCCTCTGCTCCTCCCTCCTGCTGCACACTTTTTGTTATCACTGGTCAACAGTCTCAGTAATGAGGATGACAATTCTTTGTGACAGGCAAAATGGTTTTGTGTGTCACAGGTACTTAAAAAATGGAACGGGAAGGAATTAAGAGGGGTGCGTTTTCTTTGGCCTAATTATGGCTGCATTACATCTTTTGAGATCTTTTTGACCACCTGCCGGTCTTTTCAGAGTATTAGAGAAGGCAAAATGGCCTATAACACAATCCATATTTTGTCTGTGAGTCAACCTGAGACAAATCTAATTCCTCAGCTCTCTCTGCTCATGCCTGCTGCCTGGTGCTATTGATCTGGCTCACCACTTAGAGCTTGTCTGCCTTTAGCGGTTTGCCATCTTTATTTTTATCTCTTTCCTCTCCTCTCCCAGCGACTTGTTTTGCTGGTCCATTTACACCAGTTCCACGTGAGTGGGTGAATGATTGATGAACGTGGTGTGGGACAATGATGCCCCATGCATTGTAGTGCTTATATAACAGCCCCCTGCAGGGTTTACTGGCTGTGAATGTGACCATGTAGGCATGTAAACATGTGTCTGAGAGCGTTGCGTGGGTGTTTGTACACCCATTACTGTAACATGTGACAGCTTTATGACCTGTTGTAACATCATTTGTCTGTTTTTTTTATCTTTCCGTGTTGCTCTTATCACGATTGTCTGGGTTATAGCAAACACATTTTATTTGATGAATGGAGCTCAGTGTGTTCAGTCTTTCATAACCATCCAAGAACAAAACGATATGAATGTAACAAGCGGCATGTAAAACCTTTTGAATTGTCGTCCACAGAAGAGCAAAGAGGAAAGAAAAACGACACAATGTAACTCAGAATTAGAATTCTTCATTGAGACAATTTTATTACATAATGTCATGATTTGTTTACATTTTTGTTGATTTGATTCTGATGGTGCATTTGATAGATTTGGGTCAATTGGGTGTGTCTTTCCTGTGCACCTAGTACACATTGCCCTCAATTATCTTCAGGTTTGTTTTGTGGGTTTCTTAGGCTCATTTAGCAGCACTATTGTGAGGGATTTTTGTATCCCTGTCTTTAAAAAGTGTGACACTAAACACGCTTGAATCAACATTAGGAATGATTCAGTGTTTTTGTGATTTTGCGCAACTGTAGTTTCAAAGTGCATTTCTCTTACACACCGCTGTGGTTAATAGGGTGGTGCAGGAATGAGTCCTAAACCTGTAAATGAGTAAGCATTTTAGCACTTCCCGATATTAGGTCTGTGTCCTGCCCCCAGGTTAGAGAAGCTGGAGGACATCAGAGGGAAAACCAGAAAATAAATCTAATAAATATGATCCAGTTGCCTGAAATTAACTTAGTGCTGTTAATCCTCACGCTCTTCTCCAAGGATATTGTGAAACCTGCCCACCAAAGTTAAATAGCGAACAGAAAGTGACTGACAGAGGCTCCATTCTTCCTATAGCAAGTTAGTGTGGTATCAACATTACATTTTAAGGTTAAATAGTTCCATAATGATGCTTTAGGTTGCCATATGCCTACAGCATAAGCAGTACATGCAAGAACAAGTAGTGCCCCTGTGCAAGTCTGAGACTGTTGCAGAAGTGTTTTAAGAAGTTAGGTTTTAGTGATGCATTTGTTGAGGAAGTATTAAGAATACAACTGGAGAAATAAGAATCGGAGAAAGGGTGTTTTGATATAGTTTTGCTGATGTTATCTGCAGCCCACATTCACCTAAATGTATCAAGAATTTCAAGGTAAGAAAGGGCGAGTCAATGCTCATTCAGGGGAAGTATTTATTCTAACCTGCAAATATTCAGTTTCATTATGCTGAAGGAAAGGTCTGTACAACGTCTGTGCCAACTATGTTGCTGTTGCATGTTCTGGCCTGGTTGCTTATCTGTGGGGTAGCATACTGTGGGCGTGGGCAGAACCCGCCCTCACACTGGCCATAGCAGTACAGCTGGTGCCAGAACACACACACACACACACACTCTCACACACACACTCACACACAGAAGCACAGCCTGAGACTTCCTGTTGTTGGACTAAGATCACAGCCTGGTGGCTCTGCTGCTCCCACTTAAACCTCAGTAACACGACACAATCTCCCCCCCTAACTAATGACTGGCATGGCTTCCGTTTCATGTTAACCTCCTTTCTGATTAAAGAAGAGCCTCTCCACCAGTCTGTCTGTCTTCCTGCCGGAGAGCCTGTCCCTTCAGGGATTCAGGCGAGTGTGAAGTACAGATATCTGGTCTAAAGGCAGCTCACATACTGAACTCTAAAGGCATCTCTGCAGCTGAGCAGACCAGTGAACACAGCTTCACATTTCAGATAATAGACTAAAGGGCATGGTTCACCTTTCTACAACACGGGCTAGAGATTTGTACTCATGACAGATGAAACAAGTGTTTCAGCATTTTGACAGCTTTATTCGGGTAATGCCTTCTCTCTGGATAATCCCAGTTAAACGGCTTAAAGAGAGAGCTGGGAAATCTGCACGCTGCTAAGTGTGAGATAGGATGCATTCGCTATATTACGGTTTTGTTAAAAAAAAAAAAAGCCAAAATCATCCCTTAATCCAATATCACCGTGATTATAAAGCAGCAGGCTTTACATATACTAAGTTTTCTTTAGGAGCGGATGAAGTGCTTGTGTCCAGGTGTCAGACATTTAACAGATTATCCCACATGATTACCTTTCATCACCTGTAGTGTCACATGCTACTTTTTGATGCTTTCTTCCAACATTTTCTGGCTGCGAGGTGTCCCTACGTTTCAGATGCCTTCTCTTGGATTAGTTGCACCACAAAAAAAAGTGCTGAACATTATAAGCTGCAGTTTGATTACTCACTATTTTAACAACATGCTTCGTCTTGCCAATAAAGCAAGTGAAAGAATGTTTGATGTGTTTTGGGCCTTAGATAATCTCGTCAAGATGGATATCTTCAATTGTCATGTAAAGATTATGATTATGCATGTATGCCAAGTAATATACTTTTGTGATGGAAATTTCCAACGTTACTGACAAAGCATATGAGGGGTGAACTTTATCAACATGACATTTATATTTAGCTAGCTCAGGAATTTCGTTGTTTATATCCATGGTCACACGCTCAATATTTCCTATGGCTGCTTTGATGATCTGTCATCATTTCCCAGTGCTTTGATGGCTAAATCTGTAGACAAGCCCTTAATTATTGTTGATATTGTCAGCAATTCCCAACTATAGTGGTACCAGGGGGAAGATAATACATTTAATTAAATTAGCTTAACCCACCAACTCAACTAAAAGAATGTAGTAAGAGATAAACAGTTGAAATGGTCAACTCAAAGTAAAGAATAAACAGATTAAATTGTTAGCTCATAGGTACCAGTTAAATTGTAATGTCCAGCTTCTGTCACGAGCAATATAAGTACTTATGCTCATTTCAAATGTTATTGATTGGACAAAAGACGCTAGGGAAGGCAAATTATTTTAGAGTTTTCTTTATATCCAGACCAAAGATCAGTCAAATGCTCTCTGGTATCTGTTGCTGTAACAAGGCTGTCCAATGATTTAATTTGGCCCCCCCCAGTGAAATGAATGGATGGCCTACCTGACAGTGTATCTACCTTACAGCCTACCTGCAGTGAGGAAGTTTGATAGCGATGACAACATAGTGACGCTCTTGTTTCCCCAACACTCTCTCGCAGGCTTGTCCTCCAGCACTAGTCAGGCATTGTGCTTAGAAGAGATTCTGGGCATTTGTTTTTGAGGGAGGCCCAGAGGGATGGGCTTTTTTTTTTCTTTTAAGGATTCTTTCAAAAATCTTTTTCTGGAACAGAAGCTTTGGGCATGTTGTTAAAAATGAAGAGGGGGAATCTTTCAGTATGGCCCCATGTTTGACTTTAGTTCTTTTGGCTGCACAGACGCTCACACAGTGTTTCAGTTCTTGTGCATCCTCTCTGTCTACCAGCAGCCCCGCCCTGTTCACCTCCTGTCTGACTGGCACCCGAAAGGAGACATCAGGTGACGGGTGCAGCTGTGCCTGGCAGGGGGGGGTGTGTGTCAGTTTGTATCAAACCGACTGTGGTGCTCGGCCAGCTGACCTGGTTGGAGTGCTGCCTGCTCCGCTGCAGCAGGAACAGGACAGCTGTATCCAGAAGCAAGAAAAGGCATCCCATCATGCTTCTTCTCCAGGGTCATATTCTAATATTGCTAGCTAAAGTGCATTTTTAAATAGCTTGAAGGTAAAACAACACATACTGGTTTTGGCTACACTGATGCTGTCAGGTTACTTCTTGCCCTCCACTGATGTGGCGTTGGTTTGATGAGTGCCTGTCCTCCATGCAGAGTGGGTAGGGTGTTTATAATGGCAGGTTAATCATTTCCAGCCCTTACTTAACAGTTGTTCAGTCCAGATAATCAATTGTTTATTATCCTCTAACAAATTCCATTGTGTCTGATTTGTGTTTTTATAGAAGCTGGCAGCAGAATGTCAGAGCGCAGGCTACAGTGGCACGCTGATCCCTTACAAGTGTGACCTGTCCAACGAGGAGGAGATCCTGTCCATGTTTTCAGCGATCAAGACGCTACACAAGGGCGTGGACGTGTGCATCAATAATGCCGGACTGGCCCACAACGAGCCGCTTCTCAGCGGAAAGACGGAGGGCTGGAGGAACATGATCGACGTGGGTTGAGACACAAACACAAATATAAATGCTTTAGGCTGAAAATAAAAAAGCGAGAGAGAAACATATTCATTTAAAGTGGGGATGGTTAGTTATCCTCTTCCTCTGATGTAGTATTGATTTTATGGTTGCACTACTCAAACAGTAAAGCAGAAGTAAGAGCTGAAATGGTTGCTCAGTCTGAGTGGAAGTGTTTGTATAGCTTGTATGAAGAATAAGAGTTAAAGCAGAAATGTGTGCACACAGACCCCCCCCCCCCCTCACAGAGGCTGCTTCATCGGCTCTGTAGAGAGGCCCACTAATGAAAGCCAGCACTATTTCTCTTGTTTGGACCTTTACATTCTGATTCATTGAGCTCTTGACCACTGCGGACCCCCTGCTCCAAAGTCCCCGCCTACAGAGTCCCGCATTTGTAACGCTCGTCCATCTGTTGTCATGGCAGCCTGAATGGATGTGTACAGCAGTGTATTTTTAGCCTGTGTTTAATCTGTACGCTGACCTTGTTTGGTCACTTCCCCCCCTATCTTGCCACCACGTTGGCTTTAACCTGCCCGTCTATCAGCGTCATTACGGGAGCAGCTTAGAGGACACAAGCTGGACAGGAAGAGCAGCTTCAGTCTCACACAGTGACCCAGAGAGCACCAGCTCAACTCATGCACTGTCATCATCACATAACACTTTTTATATTGAAGAATCACATTTAAGGGGACAGTTCACCCTAAAATAAACAAACATATTTTGCCACTTGCCTGTAAAGCTTGTTATCAGCATTGGTTGGTAACGTGTGAGATGTTATATGATATCGCCCCATAGAGACGTTTTCTGTGTCCAGACAATGGATTTGCTCAAATGCAACTATGGTACTCTGCTTTTGTAAAACTTATCGGGAGTCCTTCCATAGATCATGTTACTCAATATACACAGACTTTGTTGTGAGCAGTTCTTTGCAGAAACTATTTTAATTCTTTCTAGAACTGCCAACTGAGTGTATCAACTAATGTATGATAGGATTGCGACAACTTAAGAAGTAAACAGTAATGGTGTCCTCCTCAGCTGAGCGCTCATGCTAGTTAGCTTAGGTGAGCTCAGGAGAGCGTCTTGTCCATAAGAGGACGATTGCTTCCTCCCCATGTGCGATGATACGGTGTGGCAGTAGTTTGGTAGAAAGAAAATAGTTCCTGAATGTATCTCAAAGCAATCTGTGGATTATCTTGAGTAACCGGGTCATCATTTCTGGAACGAGACATTGCTGCTAAGTTTTTTGGATGTATTTGTTTAGCTTTAAGCTGAGTGTCTACTTCTATAATGTCGGAGAAAAGCCAAACTTCTAGGGGCCGACAGCTCACACAAAAACCAACAATCTAGATGTATTGATAGCTCTACAGGTAATTATAATATACATTTTAGATTTTGGAAGTGTCCTTTTTAAGATCTGTAAATGATATCAACTTACTAATGTTTTCTCTTTTACACAGCATGTCTTTGGCAGTGAAAGGAACATGCATTGAATTAATGAAATGTTTTTGTCTTCCCCTCCCCTTCAGGTGAATGTCTTAGCTCTGTCTATCTGCACCCGTGAGGCTTACAAATCAATGAAGGAGAGGAATGTGGACGATGGCCACATCATCAATATTAACAGGTTAGCCATAAATCACCTTTAAATCTAAGAACAAATGTTAAAGGTAATCTGAAAAAACCTCAGTAAATGTGTGAATGGCTGGTATCAGGTAAAGCCCATTGATAGCCTGGACCTGGAACAATGTGAAGGACTGTTGGACTCATGAATCAATCAATCAATTTCACAAATCATTCATTATAATGCTGTTGTGGAATTATTTAGATCTATTCATTGATTTAACTTTCTATTTTTAGGAACTGTGATGGGCCTGCAAAGCCCTTTGATACTCTGTACTTTATATGATACTAACCTACCTTCTCCTCCCTGTTACAGTATGGGTGGGCATCGGGTGGTGGCGAGTGCCGATGAGCATTTCTACTGTGCCACTAAATACGCTGTGACTGCTTTGACCGAGGGCATACGGCAAGAGCTCCGAGAAGCAAACACCCACATCAGGGCCACAGTGAGTTACATGTTATCAGAGTGCAGGTTCCTACTGTAGCATAATGCTCCTATAAGCGATCACATACATAAGTGTACATGCAGTGAGCTATGGAAGCTCTGAGAGGCTAGAGAGGGAAAACATTTGTTTTGCCAGGGGAAAATAGTTTGCCAGTTAGCTTTTTGTTTTATCCGTGGAATTGTGGGAAAATAAAAAAGGTTTGGCAGGGACATCCTTTGTTCAGTTTTTCTTTGTTTCTTTTGGCCACAAGAGGCTGGAGTACATCATCATCCCATGTTTTAAAAAAGCAGGTAATGAATTTTAATCAACCCTGCTCTACTGTAACGCTTTCATCGCCTGGTGTACTTAAGACTATTGTGGCCGAAATGAGTGGATTACAAAAGCTATTCTGACAACTTTTTCATCCATTTTCAAAGAGGAAAAACGTAACAACATAGAGAATTATTCCAGCAAACCTTTTTGTTTTAAGGATGGGGGGGAAAATAAATTTAGATATACAGCCCTGGAAACAACTCCACATTTTTCTTAAATCTCATCTCAACATGTATGGCAGCCATTCCATTCCAGTGTCTGTTGAATTCAGAGAGTAGTCAGTAGTTTATAAGATCAAATACATTTATTTTGATTTTACTCAAACACATACCTATAAATAGTCAAACCAGAGAAACGGATAATGCTGCAGTGGGCTCTTAATTTGTTCCAGAGCCGTACTAACCTGTTTTTTTTGTTATAAACGCATGAGAGAACAACCATTTTGATCAGACTTATGGATCACTAGAATTTCGTTTTATTCCCACACTTGTCATGTCATTCGGCTTGATAACTTACTGTTATAAAAGTGTGTTTTCATCGAAGCAGTAAGCACTAAATTCCTCTTGCATTTGCCTCCCCTGCAGTGTATATCTCCTGGAATAGTGGAGACTGAGTTTGCCTTCCGGCATCACAACAGCGATCCAGAGAAAGCAGCTGCAGTGTATGAGAGTATGAAAGTAAGAGTCACAAGATGCATTTCACAAAGTGAGAAAAACAAAGTTCATTTTCCTCAATAATCCTTTCTTTTTCTCCACTGTTCAGTGTTTGAAAGCAGAAGACATAGCCAGTGCAGTCACATTTGTCCTCGGTGCCCCTCCTCATGTCCAGGTAATCTCTCCTTCTCTATCTTTTTTCATTAAATGCATCAGCGTCGAATGCTTTTTAGTTCCTGTATTGATCTCCTTGTCATTTGTGCCCCCAGATTGGAGATGTGCAGATGAGGCCAGTGGATCAGGTGTTATAGCATTGACACGGGAGCAGACAGACGGCAGCCATGGTGACTCCTTAGCGACCTCTGCTGGGCGAGGGTGGGTAGGATGGGGGGGATTAACAAATCTACTACAGCTGTGTTGGATCTGCAGGGATGTGGTGGATGAGGGCCGGAGCCTTAAGGAGGCTGTGCAAGGTAATGAAGGGGCGTGGACTTTGTTAAAACCACTACAAAAATACTACTGAATGCAGCAACCTGGTATTTGGGAATCGTTGAGCCCGGTCCTGAGCTGAGCCGACTCCAAACTACAGTAGGAACAAAATATATTAAAAAAGGAGGGAGTCGCTGCTGCTGTGCTCATCTGCACGGCCGTCACTTCAGAGGGAAGAGTATGCCATTGATTGCACATGTTTTTTGGGTTTATTTTGTAGGTCATATGACATATCTTTTTTGAAATAAAATGGAAAGAGTAATTGCTGTTTATAAGAATGACATTTTCTTTTGTTTAATTTTTTTTATAAATATTTTAACTTTTGATCTTAGGTAGATGTGGTCTCATACTCACTAACCGTAGACGATACTATGTCTGACTCACTATTACTAACCTTAAACAGTCCATCTCGACACCTTCACCTACAGTATGATCTCACAAACTCATTCAGTTTAGAGCTATCCAGGGTTCAACCACTTTTAAGGTATTGGGGGAAGTATACAGTAAGTGCCCTTGTCTGTTAAAGTTCTATTTTTCTTTAAGTTGGGCTGTATAAGGTACTTATCCATAGTCGGTGAATTGTTGAGCCACTTATAAAACATCTGAGTTTAAGTGTACGTTAAATTTAGAACAATTTATCACTTTACATTCGTACATTTTCTTGGAAAAAAGGACTTGGGTGGTTCGCAAACATTTTTGGAAAAGTCACACAATTAAACAAATAAACTTGAACCTTTTATGTTCTAAGACTTAACATGTATTATTGTCAATGGAGTCTGGTGGCTTTTAAAAAAAAGCACACTTCAGTTCCACTTAAACTGATGTAGACTTTATAGGTGGCTAAATACGCGTTGCTGATTCCTCCAATCACAGCAGTACATTGCTTAGCTTCTGTGCTGGTACTCCTGTCTGCTTTTCCAAACTGGGGGGCGTGCCAACTTCCATCAACTGTAGTTAATACACTTAATATAAAATAGTACCTTACACAACGCCACTTTAAACACTCTGAACTATCCCTTTAAGCACATGGGTTTCTACTATCCACCTTTTTGCATAATTAGTCGTTCTGCACTTTGGATTCATTTACCAGGAATTACAAGAAGGAAACACTGGGAACTTATATAGGGGAAGAAACTAACTCTGTGTACATGTATACCCTAGAAATGTACCTTTCAGTGGAAATGTCTCCTTAATTGAATGAATAAAAACATTTGCCCGGAAGTAAATGATGGTCTGAGATATGTTCGTTGTAGAAATAAGACACAAGCTGTGGACTTTGTGGGTTTTTATGACACCGTACATGACATGGCAGAATTGCATGACCCTGTTAACTACCAGTGTGTATTCTTTTATCAGCAGTTCCCTGTAGCATTTGACCTAATAAATGAGTCAGCCACAATGAATTGGTACACAGTGGTTAAGGTTCAGCTGTACGGACTGTGAATGTCAAAAAGTGGCATTACTTTGACATTCTTTTGGCTAAAATGTAATAAAAAGTGCAGCATTTCATAATATCAACACTCATTCTTGCATTAACCTACATGGCCAAAAGATGGCACCCTTAGTAAAGTAAAGAGAAGGCAAGGAAATATCCTCATTAGCACTCCTTGGAGCTGAGGTGTTGGCCGGATATAAACATGTACACAACAAAAACGGATTATAATCGCTGTTCAACCAAATTTGAAACAAACATTTGATCAACAGGTTTCCAAAAATACTCATTTCAATATATCTGCATGTGCAGCAACAACATTTCATAATCATGTGATTTAGATTTACCAGCAGTTTGATGAAGATTTAACACTAATACAAAAATATTTGTGATTAATTTGAGCTCCTTAGAGCGTTGTGCAAAGCAGCGAGGTATCACAGGTTTGTCTGCAGTGGAGGTTTTTCAGTTAGATGGATGTCTGAGCTGATGACAGCTAAGCCTGTGTTTGCATCTCTTCCTCCCCTCTCGTAGTAAGCCATATTTGACTTTCCATCCAGCGTGCCTGGTGTGATGGACAGCTTCAGTTTCTGTAGAAGATATGGACAAATAATGTTAACAAATGGCTTGGTTTAATATAAACATAACAGTGGAGGAAGAAGTACTCAGACGAGAAAAGTCCTAAATCCGAAACGTTATCCAAAAGTTACTTAAGAGAAAGTACAAAAGTATCATCAGCAAAATGCCCTTAAAGTATCACAAGTAAAAATATCAAATTTCACAGTGTAATATAAACTACTATTAACTGAGAATTATTATAAACTTATGTATTTCAGTTTCATAGGTAAGATAAATTCTTTCCAATTTGAGATACTTTGTGTACCACTGAGTATATAAGTTGTAATAGAGTGACGTATAATATTTCCTTTTGAGATGTATTGAAGTACAATTATAAAGTTGCATATGGGAATACACGAGTGCTAGTATCTCAAAATGGTCGGTTCGTAAATGCACTTACTTATATTCCACTTCTACTCATAGGTATATCTGCGATGTGTTTGGTGGTATAAAAAAATTAAAATGTGTGTCACCTGGATGAAGGAGCCAGGCAGCACCCACAGTGTGTGCACAGCACCCAGAGGAATCCAGATGATGGAGCCCATGGCGATGAGCCAGCCGACCCCCTGAGCCCAGGGGGGGAACACGTAGTCCTCATAGCGCGCTGGTTTGAACTGGATGATGGAGAAAACCAGGATAACCTGCAGGAAAAGAACGCTTAGTTATAAGACTTTTTACATAGATCTCATTATTGCTTTTAGGTAATATTCATTAAAAAAAAAATGTTTAAATGGTGTTGACTTACACCAACTAGCACGGGAGCAACTATCAGCCAACACACTCTGAAGAACACGTTTGCTCTTTTTCCAGTCATCTCCTCCAGGTTGTCTGAAAGTCGAGTCACCCCTGTGCATGGAAGGCTAACTCAGTAAACAGCAATGCATGTTGACAGACTTGACAGCATTTGGCAATGAGAAATAGAGGTAAATATAAGCAGTGTTAGAAAGTAACGAAGTACAATAAATCAAGTATGGTACGTAAGATAATTTTAACTTTCAGGATTGTGCTTTTTTCTTTACTACATTTGTCTGATAGCTTTAGATACTTTTTTCCATTATTATAGAATCTTATCTCAGAAGTTGATGCCCTGCTGTAGATTAAACTACCAACAAGAGTTAACATTAGCACCATCCTACACATCTACAGCAACCAAAATGCTAAATGAACGTTAATGCAGCAGTAATATTAATGTAAAACATGGAACACGGACTACTTTAACTACATTCAGCAGACAGTACTTAAATGTGTTATCTTAATACACTTTGAATCCAGTTGGAGTATTTTCACAGTCTGGTAATTTATTTAAGTAAAGTATCTTCTTCGTTCACTACTGATATAGGTCACATAAATATATATTTATAATAGTACTCTCATGTGACGTAGATTATCTGGTCTTTGAACACAACTGAACATATGAGCTCACCATAACACCAACAGATGGCTATGACCTCAAAGAATGCAAGAAACATGATGGACACAATAGCAGTGTAATGATCCATGAGCTGGAACACATAGATGCCCACCTGAAATGAGAGACACGCTCTTTAAAACTGCAGGTAAGTTGAAATCGTGACTTAAAACTACTTTGGTTAAAGTTCACCCTTACCTGCAAGACACAAGGAATCCCCAGAATAGCCGCTGCGCCACAGACAGCAAGAACAAATAACTCCTTCCGCTTGAAAAACCTTATCAGTTTGTGATAAAATTCATCCATGAGGCTGGTCACCATCACTTCAACCATCGCAAACTGGCAACAAAAATATCAGTCACAATATATCTCTGAATTGCTGCAAATAATTCAATGTTTATCTCCCACTGTAATGTTTTCCCCATCGTCTACCTCACTGTCCAGTCCAAGGCAGAGCAGCATGAAGAAGAACATCACAGCCCAGAGCTGAGATACTGGCATGTTGGAAAAGGCTTGTGGGTAAACAACAAAAACCAGTCCTGGACCTGGATACACCAACACAGGGAAAAATTACACTAAATCATAAAACAATGTGATTGAAAGTGCAACATATGAATCATTTATGATGATCTGATTATTTCTTGCACAACTCAGTGTCACTTGACCACAAATACAAAGGTTTAAAATCAAGCATATATTTGGAATTTTAACTGACTTGTGTATGTATTTAAAATAAAAAAAAGCCTAAACTTGTGACCCTTAAACTTGACAGGTTATTCGGACTAACATAAATACTTTCATCAATTTACAGTACAACTTATTGACTTAAAGTTTATGCATTAATGTTATGCAACATCAATACATGCACTTTAAAATACAGTCAAAAGAGCTTATAATGTAACACACTATTTGTCTTTTTAAATTTAACAATTATTTCACAATGCATAAACTGTAAATTCTCCTTATATATCACTTTTCCTTTTCTTGTTTTTTGATTAACAGTTTGTTTATTGTTTGTGAAACAGCAATAAAGCATGACAAGCTGATCATTAATTTCAGTTGTTCTTTGTCCATTCATCAAGCCTTTAATTAGCTATATGAATCATATGTCATCCAATTGTATTTCTGCTTATTAACTTTCTCATAAAAAATGATACGAAACAATATACCATGAAGCATTGCTTTGCAAGGATACTGATTAATAACCCTTCAAACACTCACAAATGCAAATGTGTATTTACCTTCTATCTTTCTTTCCTTTGATTAAAATCATGTATACGATTAATTGTCAAACTCATATTACTATAGAAGAAGAGATGGCACTCTGAACCAAAATGAAAATCAAATCAATCTCCTGAAGCTGAAGAAATGAGTTACATTTATTAAAACATTTTTGTTTTCTTACCATCCACAGCCAGATCGCTGATAGGGATGCCCTGAAGATGAGACATGTATCCGAAAGCAGAGAAAATGACAAAACCTGCCAGGAGGCTGGTGAGGGAGTTGATGATGGCTATAGTCAGGGTGTCCCTGTGGGGAGAGAAGATGTTTTAATATCACATTTAGACTGCCAAGTGATCATTATTGTCAATGCTGAAGGAAGGGGTCAATTTGTATGTTGGTTTATTACTTTAGAACGTTGTTGTTGAAGGAGTTGTAGCTGGACATGGCCAAAAGGGAGCCGAAACCAATCCCGATGGAGTTGAAGATCTGTGCTGCAGCGTTCACCCACACCTGCAACACAGAGAGATGAGCATCCAACCCACTGATCACTGCCAGTACAAATGATCCATACCCACAGTTGGATTATGTGACATTTCAGAGGCCTGAATTTTCAGGGCCCCTCCTGGTATTAACCTACAGGATGTCACTCTAAGAGACACATAGCTACCGACTAGTAAGAGACTAAAAACAAAGAAATAAACCAATGACAAAGACATTGAAATTTGAATAAAATTGGGCAGTACAACATGTCAACAAAGAGGCACAAAAAGAACCACAAAGAGACACAAACTCACCACAAATAAATATAAGTTGACTTTACAGAGACACAAAAAGACTACAGAGAACAAAACAATATTAAGAGATTTAAAAAACTGCTAAGTGGCGCAGAGAGACCACAAAGAGACACACAATGACTAGAAAAAGAGGCATCACGAACACAAAGCATCATACAAAATGACCACAAAGAGGAAAACAACTATTACATAGAGACACAAAACAACTACAAACACTCACAAAATGAGTTGAAAATTACACATTAAAACTTCAAAGGTAGATTACCTTGAAACACAAAATGTCAACTACAATTGCAGAGACACAAAAACACAACAGTGTAAAATATTGTAATGTCTGTGTGTCTTGCTCCTATTGGGCCTTTTGCTTGATTGTGTCCAGGTGCACATTATCAACGCTTATTCAAATACTAGTAGCACCTCCTGTTTCAGACAGAATAGGTGATTATTTGAATGTCCTCTTCTGCTCTGTTTCTTCTTTCTTACCTCTACTGACAGGAGCATGTTCCAGTCCGGCACAATGAAGAAGGTTATTCCATCCAATGCTCCAGGAAGCTGCACATTATTTATCAGCAGTGCAATCAGGATAATATACGGGAACAGAGCCGTAAAGTACACCACCTGCAAACAGAGACAAACAATGGTTGTCCTGCACCGTCTGTTTGTTTGTTCTTAAATCCATCTCTCTTTTCACTCACTTTCCCTGTTGATTTGACCCCCTTAAAGATGCAGAAGTATATGATGATCCAAG